CACAGCCAAAGCAGCTTGAAGCCACCGTGACACTGCGGCAAAAAAAAACGATAAACCGACCGCAGCCGCAACCGTCGCACACACGAGGTACCTTTCATCGCCGGCTGCAGCCACTTTACACGGAAAAACACAAGGTTTCGTGCTCCGGCTTCCTACCCAACTCACCACTTCCCTTCCTCACCACTTCCCATCGTCACCACTTCCCATCGTCACCACCTCCCTTCGTCACCGCTTCCCTTCCTCACTACTTCCCTTCCTCACCACTTCCCTTCTTCACCACTTCCCTTCGTCACCACTTCCCTTCGTCACCACTTCCCTTCGTCACCACTTCCCATCGTCACCACTTCCCTTCGTCACCACTTCCCTTCGTCACCACTCCCCTTCATCATCACTTCCCTTCTTCACCGCTTCCCTTCGTCACCACTTCCCTTCTTCACCACTTCCCTTCCTCACCACTTCCCTTCGTCACCACTCCCCTTCATCATCATTTCCTCAAGGTCAATTTCATAGCTTCTTATTCTTTTGTTATGTATTGGTACATTATGTATTGTTATATTATGTATTGTTATATGATCTACCACCCTTCCTCAAGGTCAATTTCATTGCTTCTTATTGGTTTGTGATGTATTGGTACATTATGTATTGTTACAGGATCTACCACCCTTCATCATAGTCAATTGCACCAAGTAAAAAGTCATTCGTAACTCGGAAATTGCTTCCCAACTTCCTTTGATTAATGTGTATCATGGGGATTTTCATAAACAATATGAATAAGTCCTAATGGGAATATCACCTATTAGGACTATATAATGAACTTGTATCATTACCTTACCATGTGTGAGATGTGTCGGGTCGCCTAGCAAAAATTGCTTAAAAAACAAGTGTCAAAACATCGGAATGCCACCCGGTCACAGCAACCTGGTCTCGCTGGTCTGTTCCCAGGCCTGGCTGGTCTTGAAAACTGCGTTCCGCGCATTTTCTGCGCTCACCTCCGTGTCTTGCGGGCTGTCCACCCTTTGACCCGCCTATGGATTGTATCCTGCGACTTTCAAGCTGCCACACTTCATGTCTGCCACCTCTGCCAAGACTCTTGCCCGTGCGCAACAAGCGACTCCACAAATTGGCGACTTTCGGCTTATCACCCTATCATCATGTCATAGTATATTAGTATAACATTATATATATATATATATTATATATATATATATATATTTGAAAATAGCTGTCCAATAACTGTCTTTTTTTCTGGGGGAAAACGTACCCGACAAAAAACTATAGCAAAAAGGATGGGATTCACATGGATCAACTCTGGATTTTGCACCAAGACCCGTAACGAAAAACGGTTTGCGAACTGGAAAATCACTACTTTTAATGGGTAAAACTACTTTTCCTATGGCCATTTCAATAGCAAACTCTTATAGTTTACCAGGGGGTAACATCAAAGGGATTTACACATTTTGGGAATTCTTGTGGCCCATCGGATCTTTGTGTGTGATTGGGCGACGGGATCAACAATGGATTAAGGATGTTGCCTTGAGTAGTAAACAACTGAAACTGGTTAGTAAGTGAAATCCCAATTTTATACATAGTAGGTATTAGTAGGTACCAAAAAGCTGGAGAAGCTTCTATTCACCACGATTTCGGGATTGGAAATTACTTGTCCATCCCTTTGGGGGAATTGCTATACAAGTTCGTAAGTAGGGCATCCCGACATATTAGACAAAAAATAGATTGGATTCGTAATCCCACATGGTGCTGGAATAGTGGCTATATATGGTGCTCCATGGATCCCATCAATATACCCCAGTCATGTTAGCACATATACCAGCACCATGGATCCCATTTACAATAAGAAAAATGTCGACTCGATGATGAGGTCGAAACATGTCATGTCACCTTGGTTTCCCCTCGGATAAAACGTGAACCTCCCAGGTTCAAGGCCATATGTGGCCATCAGTAGGAATTTGGGATGCCAATTGATTGAAACTCACCATGATCTCTCCATTTTCACTAGTGAAATCCCCAGTTTCCTTAAGGTCAAATAATGTTTTAGAAAATCCCAAATTGAAGTGTATAAAGTCCTGTTTCCTATCCCATCTCATGGTAGAACAGTTGGGTGATAGGTTTCCCGGTTTCATTGGTTAATTCAGAATCCCAATAAAACTGTTGGAAAAACTCCTTATCAACAACCAATCAACGTCCGGGTGTCCATGGAAAATCCATGGAAAATCCATGAGATTTTCCCAGCTAAAGATAGTTGGACGGTTGGTCCATAAGTTCATACCGTCAACTACGAGCAGGGACCCTTGAGGGGGATTCTAGAACCCCTACAGGGGTTCTACAATCATTTTCCCAGGGGGGGGGGCCCTGGGGATCAACTTGATGATGTTAGAACCTTGGCAGCTTGTGTTAGGGGGGTTCTGGAATCATATCATGGGGAATCAGGAAAATGATCCTAGAACCCCTTCATTTTGGAGCCTTTCTGTTATCAAAAAACAAAGTCAACAATTACACCTAAGCAAAACCCGCAATCTCACAAACTCAATTATCCGCCTGCTTCCTTTGCTCCCATGCTAATCCCCTTTTCCTATTTCTAACCCCCCTAATGAATAAAAATAGATCCCGGTTGTCATTTCCGGGAAATTTCAGGTTGGTCAATTTAATCTTTAATTAATCGCATTTAGAAAACATTTTTTGGGGTCAAGATCCCAATTCATCTTATCATCTTAATACTAAAAACTGATTGGCTGGGACTGGTTATTACTCGCGTCCATGACATCATTTCATTTTTTGATTAGTACTTAAGGTGTCGATGTAGTTATCAGGGGAAAGCGTCGTAAGACAATTTTTGGCAATATGTCAAAAAAATGACATATACAAGTAGCAGTTTTAAAGTATGCCTTAATCTGTTTTAAAAAGAACTTTCTGGCACCCAACACCTTTCGGTTGATGAATCAATTTGTTTTTTCCAATTCTTGTTCAAGGATTTTGCAGGATTGGGAGGTCTAAAACTTTATCTATGGGACTTTGTGACGACAAATCCACAGAATGAGTTGGGAGATATCATTTCAGAACCTTGTGTGAATCTCAACCGTTTCCGAGTAATAATTAAATATAATTAAATCAAATTGGATTCTTCATTTTTGTTCAGAAGGTTGTATAGGAATGGTGGGTCTAAGTTCATATCCAAGGCCCTAGTGAAGATAAATCCACAGAATGAGTTGGGAGATATCATTTCAGAACCGTGTACAAATCTCAACCGTTTCGGAGTAATAAATCAAATTGGTTTCTTCATTTTTGTTCAGAAGGTTGTATAGGAATGGTGGGTCTAAGTTCATATCCAAGGCCCTAGTGAAGATAAATCCACAGAATGAGTTGGGAGATATCATTTCAGAACCGTGTGTAAAACCAACCGTTTCCGAGTAGTAGTTAATTTTAGTTAAATCAAATTGGGTTCTTCATTTTGGTTCAGAGGATTTTGCAGGATTGGGGGGTCTAAAATCATATCTATTGGCCTTTGTGAAGACAAATCCACGGAATGAGCTGGGGGATATGATTTCAGAACCTTATGCAAAATTCAACCGTTTCGGAGTAATAAATCAAATTGGTTTCTTCATTTTTGTTCAGAAGGTTGTATAGGAATGGTGGGTCTAAGTTCATATCCAAGGCCCTAGTGAAGATAAATCCACAGAATGAGTTGGAAGATATCATTTCAGAACCGTGTGTAAATCTCAACCGTTTCCGAGTAGTAGTTACTTTTAATTAAATCAAATTGGGTTCTTCATTTTGGTTCAGAGGATTTTGCAGGATTGGGGGGTCTAAAATCATATCTTTGGGCCTTTGTGAAGACAAATCCACGGAATGAGCTGGGAGATATGATTTCAGAACCTTATGCAAAATTCAACCGTTTCGGAGTGATAAATCAAATTGGTTTCTTCATTTTTGTTCAGAAGGTTGTATAGGAATGGTGGGTCTAAGTTCATATCCAAGGCCCTAGTGAAGATAAATCCAAAGAATGAGTTGGGAGATATCATTTCAGAACCGTGTGTAAATCTCAACCGTTTCCGAGTAGTAGTTAATTTTACTTAAATCAAATTGGGTTCTTCATTTTGGTTCAGAGGATTTTGCAGGATTGGGGGGTCTAAAATCATATCTTTGGGCCTTTGTGAAGACAAATCCACGGAATGAGCTGGGAGATATGATTTCAGAACCTTATGCAAAATTCAACCGTTTCGGAGTAATAAATCAAATTGGTTTCTTTATTTTTGTTCAGAGGGTTGTACAGGAATGGCAGGTCTAAGTTCATATCTATTGGCCTGGTGAAGATAAATCCACAGAATGAGTTGGGAGATATCATTTCAGGACCTCTTGTTGCATTGGTGATTGGTACCTGGCATCCTGTTTTTTATCTGCGTTTATGCACTTTGCATGTTTTGGTTCAGGAGGTTGCGCAGCCAAAGCGATAATTTCATATCCATGGTCCATGGCCCATGTGAACATAAACCTTCTTACACATAAAAACGACACTTTATCTTTTGGCGCACCATGTCTAGAAAAAAAATGCCACAAATACCCGTAGAGTGCTATAAACACACGTAGAAATCCTACTCCCAAAATGGCACATTTTCCAATGACAAGAGTTCCGGGCACTTTGGACAGTACCCAAAATGATGGGCACCAGGCTTTCTAGGTAACTACTTCCACATAATCCATAGATATCTGAAGTGGTCGGAAACAGCAAATTACAACATCAAAAAAAACAACTCTAGGAACCAAAACCTCCAGGGTTCTACAATGGGGGGAGGTCAGGGTTCTACAATCATATCGCGTACCCATTCTAGAACCCTAGAATTTACCCCCAGGGGGGTACCCATTCTAGACACTTCGTACTTGAGGGTATATAAGTTCCCGATTTTTCCCATGACCACCATGTAGTTCGAGGACTTCCCTAGATTTTCCGCTGATTTTCGCTTTTTCCCATGACTCCCATGAGTTCCCTCCTGAGCCCTCCTGAGCCGGGCAACTCATTGCTCAGAAGGACTGCTGCGGCAACCAAGTGAGAGGCCTTCTGTCCTCAATGCAGCACAGTTACCGGTCAAACGGTGACGACTTGCAATCTTGATTGGTTAAATCCCCATGAAATCCCCATGAAATCTCACTTAGGTTATATAGGAGACATATGTATTATATAATTATATATATATATTATTCTTTACAAAAACCTAATCAACCCGGATTCTCAATATTGACCCCTTTGAATGCTCAAATCCCGCTTTCTAATCTTTCTACCTGGCTTTTCTGACTAATCTGTGCAACATACTCCTTTGCCGAGCATCATATTTCGCCATCAACAAAAACAAGCAACCAATAACTCCACCAAATCATCAAGCTTTACAAACATGGCTTCATATCTCTGATACTCAGGGCCAATCTCCATGTTCAAGCCCAAAGCAAGCGAAATGTTCCCTCTAAGCTGCAACTGGCTCCGCATTTTCGGGGTGGATACCTATGGCTCAGCTTATCCCGAGCACAGCTCTCCCTGCCCACTGTGTAGCACATTTCCATCCAAGATCTGATCATGCGGAGATCCAACAGAGCCAACTCCATGATGTATTTGATCACCTGGAGAAAACCCGGCTGTGTCAGTGAAATGAGGATCTATAGAAATTTACATTGATTTATGGCAAAATTGAGCCAGTCGAATGGAACATTATGGTAAACTGTTGGTCTTTGGGCTATCTCTACTCTATGTTTATAGACAAAAGTGTATCTGTGGGCTTAATCAACGACCGATGTGGGTGCACAAATCAGAAAATATAGCATCGAAGACGCATGCAAAAAAACTTACACACAGGAATGCACAGGAATATTTAGGATCAAATGCAACATCAAACAAACAATAACTGGCCTACGTGATTGTTCCACGCGTCTGGTCTCCAGCATGTTGTGCCGGCAGACTCCTATGATCAGAAACAAGCAACAAAACGCAAAACGCAGTATGTTTTTTCCAACATCACAAGGATCTGGAAACCTTTTATAGTCCCCGTGTACAGCTCCAAACACATTCCGAGACTGTATTTGGGCTTGGTTTTTTCTTGGGTGTAAACGCCGCAGCTATTGAAGGTATTTGAAACATCCTACGCCTTAATTCTGGATAACACGCTGGTGCCCTCTCAGTTAAAGTTGGTTTATAACCATTTATAACCGCCATTAACAGTAGATATCTGTACATTTCTGTAATATATTACTATCATAAAACATATAAAACCAAGTTAGCAAAAAGAGACTGGTGCCACACCTTGCTGGTTGCTGGTTTCAACCCCTCTGAAAAATATGAAAGCCAGTTGGGATGATGAAATTCCCAATAGATGGAAAGTCATAAAAAAAATGTTCCAAACCACCAACCAGTTTTATATGTTTTGACTAGCACATGTATATTCAGAGGTTTCCTGTAGACTTTCCCTTAGACCAGTCCAATAAAACAAAGATTCGTGGTGTCTTAATGTCAACCCCGGATTAATAAACCATGTTGTATTAATTAGGGTGGTACTCCTCCAATAGTCATTTCATCTAATACTTAAATGGTACCCTCCCAATTAAACAGCCGTTTGGTGTTTATTAATCCAGGGTTGACATTAATCTGGGCAAATTATAATATTTCACTAACCTGAATTAAGGCCATTTGGGGATGAGTCCCCTTACTAACCATGATTTCCAGTGAGGTCGCAGTGAGGTCGTTATAATTTACCCAGATTAATCATATTTTTCTATTCCCATCCCTGCCGTTGATGAAGAAACTCGACCGGGTCATCTCCAGTCCATCCCGGCGTCCACTTTCGGCCTCCGCATGGCGCGGGTTCTCGCAGCCATTGGCCTTCACGAATTGGTTCACGAAGTGTGCGGCCGTGGGAACCACCACCTGGAACTCCAGGGTGCTCCTGGGGCACGGAGCAAAAATGGAGTTTTTTGAAGGGAAAATCTGGAAATCAGAGGGTTTTTTAAGAAAATATATGTGTCTTCCGCGTTTCCTTTGGATATATTTTTGGATGATCAGGCTGAAGTTGTAGTATTTGAATGGTATGCGTGGGTTCTACAACCTGAAATTTCAAAGTTGTGAGTGCTATGACCAGTTCGAAGGGTTCTAAGGGTGATGGTGCGAGGAGGGGGACCATGGACAACTACCTGGGATGCGCCATCGGATGCTGGTATGGACATGAGGTTGTAAAGTGAGCAGTACTGACATGAAACATGCATTTTTCCTGGGCTTATCATGGCTTATCCATGTTGATCCTATCCCATCTGATAAGAAATGCACTAGTTCCTTGGGTTGAAGCCCAGGTGCAACATGTTGCACTCCATCTGGAAGAGCTCATCCTTTGAGTAGGTGTTGTCGGTGATGTACACAAAGTCCTGAGCTGGGCGGCATACTTGCCCTGGGAAGGAAAACAAAAACACCAGAAAGGCGAGACATGTTCAATTTAACACTATTTTGTGATTGGATTTTACCAAATTCAGCATCTTTTTTGGGGGGTTCATCTTGTCTTTTTTCGCATGGCCAAACACTGCAGTTGATCGACCCTCCGAACCACAGGTTGGCGTCCAAGTTCTCTCTTTTTGTCACTAGAAACTCGTGGGTGATTGAGAATCCCAAGGATGTTTTGGTCTCCATATGTCTCCATACATTTGCTGGACATATTCTCATCAAGCGTTTGCTGTTAAAATCCCAAGTTTTTGCTGGCCAAATCCACATTTCTTACCAATTTCACCCATGTTCTCCTCAAAAGACATTTTTTGCCTATAAATCCAGCATAATCCAGCTCAAAGCAAATTTTCGTTGGTAAAATCCGGTGAAATCCAGAAAACAACCAAATGTTCATCACTAGTGTAAGGCTTAAAAATCTCTGAAATCCAGAAACCGGAACCTTTTTCGGTGAAATCTGTGGGTCATCTCCAAGCTGCGGTGGCTTTGGGCGGATCGATCTCCTCAAATTTGGCGGCCACGAACATGGCCACCACCTCTGTTCACAGTCTGGTGAGTCGAGTGAGTTTATCACTACCAAGATGGGTGGGTTTATATGGGGTTACCGTATATAATATATATATATATATATATTTCTATCTATAAAAGGTAGTAGTTAGTCTAGTTAGTGGTAGTTATAAACAAATATACCAACATAGAGGTTTATAAACATATATAAACATATCCTTTTCAAATGCTTAAGGTGCTGTAACTTTGGTTTATAAACTCAGCAGGCTATATCGGTTTACCCTCTGGTAATCAACCATGGCTGGCTGGAAAATCCCTCATTTAATTTCTAGATGATTTGTCCAGCTATAAACCTCCATTGATAGAGGACTGGCCAGCTAGTCATGTTTGATTACCGGAGGATAGATGACGGGTATATAACCAATAAACAGGGATATACAAGGTAGAAACTGATGCCCTAAAGAGCTAAAGTCTATACCTGTAAGGGTCAACTAAAAGATGCTTAAACGTGTTTGCAGGATGTGAGCCAACTTGTGTTTCTTAAATTGCCATAATCTATGCATTTATATATATATATAGAATTATATAGAGGTGTCCAACCTTTCTATCTTTTCTTGGGTTCCTACTATAGGACAACTTAGGGTTTATGGTAGTTGTGAGACTAAACCAACTTACAACCAGGCGGCCCCACATTGCAACATTTGTTCAAACCTATACCATAACTATCCCATTTTCATATCCCTCCACAGTTTTTGTTTAAGACATAATGTGGATAACTAAAGAGGTCGAATCCCCCAAACAAAAAAATAAAATGAACAATGGCTATCATCCTATATATGGGTTGGAGAAAGCTTGATTAAAGCTGGTGCAAAGGAAATGTGCAGAAAAACATGTTTTCTTTACAATTATATAAGGGTATGGATTTGCTGTCAGATAAATCAATGTTCCCTTCACCGAACTGGGATTGGATAATGTCAGAAAACGCTATAATTACTAGCTGGGCTTGGCGTATTTCCCTTCTAAAGTCATCGGAAGAAAATATATTTATCGATCCATAGATCCCGGTTACCAGGGCCTTCGAACCAAGCATTTTTCTTGTTGTCCCATGTTGACTTTGGCGCAGTGGAAGATTGAAAACCAACGAAATCCATGAAGCTGGTTTGCTTCCCCAGTTTGTTGGCTAAGTTGGCTTATAGGTAGGCTAACTGTTGGGTCGACGGTAGACAGATAGATTATAGGTTAGACTATAGTAGATTAGACTAGATTAGATTTATATATATATATATTTATCTTCCATAATTATTAACTAAACAAACCCAAATGTTATCTAGTTTGATGGTGAATTGTACACCAGTAGCTTGGCATCTGCGTCCTCCGCAGTCCAAGGAACCCCAAGCAGCTGCAAGCGTCGGCGCAACACGGGGAGCGAGGACATGTAACGGTCGATTAAGTTCACGGCGAGGAACCTGGTGCTGAAGAGAATGGCACTACAATGGGAATACAATGGGGATATGATGGCTGGTTGGTGGTTCCAACCCCTCTGAAAAATATGAACGTCAGTTGGGATCATTATTCATTAGGTATTAATAGTTATTGTGGACCATTCCCTGGTTCCCTACGTTTAGCACCAGTAAGCTGTTGGTGAAACATCATAAGTGGATCTATAAGTGAAACAATTACTGGATGGTGGTTGACCTACCCCTCTGAAAATATGAAAGTCAGTTGGGATCATTATTCCCAATATATGGGGGAAAAAAAAAACATGTTCCAAACCACCAACCAGTAATATGTTTGGGATCACGGATTTCCGTGGTGAAACGCAAGGGCATATTGAAGTCTGCATTCCCATGGGTCCTCATACAGCCCATACCCAGTTCGGGAATTGCCATCTGTATCACGTTAGGGAACATGATGGACCATGAGCCACTGGGTTCAGGGCATCCAATTATTCAGAGAAACATAGACTTAGACAAACCATATCTGGTTGATGGTGTAGCTACCCCCTTAAAAATAGGAGTTCGTCAGTTAGGATCATTTTTCCCAACATATGGAAAGTCATAAAAAATGTTTGAAACCACCAACCAAATATCCTTCCTCGGAAAGTACTTGGTTTGATTGATTGACCCTTGCTCTCCGATGCTCTCAAGGTTTGAGGATTAAAAAATGCCATCTATTGCCATCTCTTATAAACATTCCCGCGGAAGTTATTCAAAAATCATTCGATCCAATATCAAGTCACTGAAAACTGGGCTTCTGGAACGTTGTTGAATGAAAGTGCCATGGCAACTGGGAAGAAAGGATTCCACACCGGCAACCAACCAAGGAACAGCGTCTCTGGACGCAGTCGATATTTCATGTGAACTTCCACCAGCCAATCCACCAAAATGGCGCCTCCAGCGACGTCAATTCTCAACAAACTTCTTGGATTTACGACTAACAAACCCAAGGTCTTCAATAGTACTACCAACGTTAGATGGCAAATCAGGAGGCTGGAGTCTGCAAGGTGGTGCCCCAGTTCGTTAGCTAAGTTGGTGAACATGACTCCAATAACTATGGTATAGTTAATGGGGTTTACAAACCAACTTATAACTTTTTGGGTTGCTATATGGTGCTTTCGGGCCGAGAAACGCATCTTGCCATTGATGTCTTGCTGCGATTCCTGAGGGGAGATCCATTGATGTCAAGCGTTTTGTCAACCGTTGGTCGTTGATTCATAGAAACTCTGAAAAAATGCTGGTCTTAGCATGTCTTACCTCAGAATATCTCAGTTTTTGCTCTATTCAGCAGTTGCTTCACCTTTCATCCAATTATAATCAATTATATATAGACAGATCAATCCCATACAATCCCACTATAGATATACCCATCAATATCCCATCAAGCCTGCTGATCTGGCAAAAACATAGATAATGAACATCATAGTGAAGCAACATGTGGGAAAGCAAATGGTTAGTTGACAAACAATTTGCTGGGATACAGAATTATTGCAATCCGAACTATCCGAACAAGTTGAAAAGTCAAATCCGACTTAAATAATTGCAAATTGAACTTTCTTTTTCACATTTACTATATATCCTCTCTCTCTCTCTCTCTCTTCCATTTTCCTGAAACATCAACAGCCGTCGCTTCAACCGCCAAAACGAACGACAAAGGCTCCATATAGTCCGCGCGCGGCATAAAGATGGCTTCGTCGTGAAAGAGCTGGTCTGCGATCTCCGGCGCGTACTCCGCCACAGACTGCACCTTGTCCTGAAGGCGCAGCAGGGACAGAGCAGTGGGACATGCCAATCTCAAGATGATGTGCAAACAAATGACAACTGGATATTGTATGTAAACACATGCGTCACTACAGTGTATTATATCAATATCTGTGTGCATAAATATATATATATATATATTATTCATGGTAGGTCGTCTGAAAACTGGGAATACTCCAAATGTTGACAGCAATACTAATAACAATATATGACAAAACGTCATTAATAGTGACACCACATACTACAATCGTTGATCCCAACTCAACACCACATATTCCAGTATTGGCTGTTGGTATTCATAAGTCTTTCATTTTCACTGATGGCAGTTATTCAGACTATTATATATATATATATATATTACTTGTATTCTGAAGGTGTAACTTATAGTAATCCCAAAGCAATGGAAGAGTTGATCGTCACAAAATTAGTAGGGAAACTACTTTTCTCTCTCATCAGGAATAATCATCAGGAATATAGTAATAATAATCATCATCAGCATCGTCATCATCATCATCATGATAAAAACAACTCCACTATACGATATATCCACCATAAACCAGAGTTATTGGAGTTATAAACTACCTGAACTATCTACAGTTATGGCCCCGAACAGTCATACGTGGCAGTTGCAAATAAATGATATTATAACTCCCGTAACATTATCGGTAACATTCTCGGTGACATTATCAGCCAGTTACAACTAAGGGCATTTGCTCGCTGTGCCCCTCAAGCATTCCGCCAGGCCACATGCGCTTCTGCCAAGAGCTCGGGATTACTGATCTCCATCGGTGTAGGTGAAGCCTCGCGGTTTCGAATCGTCACCAGGCTTCGCTCGAGCGGCGCCAGTGGCGCCAGGGGTGCCAGGGGCCTGTTTCGACCCAGCGACGTAAGCGAGAAAACAGGAGGAATGGTAATTAGTCGATTGAAAATTGGATCTATGATGATTTATGCCTATTTATGATAGGTATAGTAACAAATGATTTGACGCTCAGTTGACCCCAATAAAAATCTAACGAAATAAATTGAAGATTGTGTGGAAAACAAGATTTTCCCTGGGTTTCATGAGGGTCTATCATGGAACATGCAAGTGCTTACTGGAATTTGAAGAACACCTGGTGATCTTGTGTACGGGTTTGATGCTTGGTTGTTTGTTTTCGTGTGCACGTGTGACTCAACTTCCACATTTGAGTCAGCGCATCATCTACTAGAATGATATCCAAAGATCCTCAAGTTAGCAAATGATTGGCAGGTAAGCATCCCATTACACACAGATGTATATATTATATATTCGATCACTTATATATTATATATTAAACAATAATATGCAACCCCCAAAAGCGTCCCCCAGCAAGGGGTTCGGAAAATGATCTTTACCCTAAAGTTCCGGCAGTTGAAAAATACAAGTGGTTTTCTTCGCATCTCTGAATGAGTTTGCCAACTCTATGGGCTCCAGTTGATGGGATGAGTCGCAGACCCATCAAAACTAGTTCAAAGTTGCCAGAATTAGCGAAGTTGTTCGCAGCTACATCCCAATTACAAGGAGTTATAACCCACAAACACCAACCACTGAGCTAATCCGTACAACATCTAAGAAGGTATAGCTTAACTGCCATGTCCTTCGGTAATCAAGTAGCAAGGCACTGGGAATTTCCCGAACATTTATTTATGGCAAAATCATCGAACTAAATTGGAATCATTGCCATGGGATGCCATGGGGCTGATTACCGGAGAGTATATTCCATTACTTCCCATGATAGTCCCATGAAATTCCCAGATTCTTGGTTCTGCTCATGTTTGTGATGGTTAGACTCCATATATTATCATGATTCCTATGGATTTCACAACTTACCAACACCTGCGACGTGTCGGGCGGGCCAAGGTGCTCCCGGAGCGGTTTCTTGCGCATGTCACGGGCATCTTGGATGTTGGTGATGTCCTGAGAATACATAATAAGCGACGATGTTGGTGAACCGGTAACATACTGTTCATTGAATATTTGTGTATAAACTGTGTATATATATATATATGCGCGTGTGTGTGTGTGTGCGGTATGATGTTTTATGTTACATTACATATATATATATATATACTTATCCCATTGTGTCTATCAGATCCCTATATTGCTATTCATAACCTTATAGCCTTATTTATATTTAAACATGCTGTTTCTTCCCATGGAATATCACGGATATTCCGCCAACCCCATTCGAGGGGGAACATATGGCTATGAGACAAAACCCTGGCACTCGGATTGAACCCTAAAATAGCTGGTTGATGGATGTTGTTGTTTTTTTGATTTCCTCAAATATGACAATAATCATAGATTTTGATCAATCCCCATATAATTATACTGTAGATTTTGACCCATCTCCATATCCCAACCTTTCCCTGTCAGTAACATCAGAATTTCCCCCCCTCCCTTTCCATGTCATGTCACCGCCAGACTCGCCAGTGGCGCGCGATTCACCCCACGTTGCGGCTTGGCCGTCGCCACCTTACGGCGGGCCTGTGGAGCACCAAGACGGGTCGCGCCCACGTTGGGGTTCCTGACAACGGTGGGAAAAAACGGAGGATTTAGCCTCTGGTAAACAGCCACATCACTATGCAAAGATCCACCATTTTCTAGATGAGTAAATCCACTATTTCGACTGGGCCATGTTCAAAAGCTATTTTGACATAACCAGATGGTACCATCCAAAATGGGGATTTACCATTTAACTATAGGGAAATTGTAGATTTAACAACATGAAATTGGATGTGTACCCTCTAAACATGGGACAATTATAGGAGCCATGCGAAGCCATGGGAATTTCAGAACTTGCCATGGACGTTGCAAAATCATGGATCTATCTCTCAAGTTCGGTGGGATTTTCCAGCCCCTAAAGGGCAAGTGGAGTGAAGGACAAAAAAACGGGGAACGTCACAATTTTTTGGGGAAGAATATTGATAAATTCCGGTCGGTTGATGATTTTTGTGGGTTTGAGCATGTTTAAGCAGGTACCAAACAAGATGAGGGAGCTCTGTGGATGATGTTTATATATATGGGAAAATTAAGCAACACAAAAGGTGCTTGGGAATTTCATGGTTCATTATGTTCATTTCGTGGAGCTTTAACTTCAAGAGTTTTGGGGCACCACCTTGCAGAATTGTACACTGTAGAAATGATGAATGGACCGGTATAGGTCTAAACCAATATGTATAGATAATCAAGCAACAACGTATCATATTACTTTATATTCTGTTATATTGGATTAGATAAGATTAGGTTATACTATCATAGATTTAGTCTGTAGATTTACATAATATGTTTAGAGATGTGTATGTAGGTTACAGTAGGTACACTATGCATATGTCTATAGTAACCCCACAAACGATGCCCCAACCATGGAGATCATCATAAACATCTTCCCGAAGCATAGCTCGAGCTATATATAGGGTATGGCGACCATGGTTTACCACATCACTAACTCAACAGTAACGACTAATTACATCTAATTACCATGAAGAACCCTTCATACCGTATTCATACCCATCAATAACCATCAATTTCACGATTTGTTATGGCACTATTTGTTTGGCACTATGGCTAGTGAACAACTGAACATTCAGTGAACACCATGCTATAAGATAGCCATATTCAAGCCAATACCGGAAAAAAAAAACGAAACCTGGAAATAGAACGGTAAACATCATCTACACGGCCTGGTAAACAGTTACAGCTGGCTTATATAAACATGGCCAGCCATATTTCATATATTTCTTCAGTGCCGCCAGTGCCATGGTAAACCGCGCCAGGCTTCACATTCTCCGAGTTGGCATGGCGCCGAGCTTGGAATGCCATGGCGAAGACGACGGACCCGACGACGGAACGGAACGACGGAACGACGATGACGGACACGACGCGGGGGTGCGGAGCTCCAGCGGCGTGTTTCGCAGATGCAGAAAAGCGATGCGGAAGTCTTAGAAGACGGGACTTATGATGGGATATGGTAGGCTACATACAACCGATATAAATAGTTCGAAAGTAGTGTGAAATTAGTTGGAAATTAGTTGGAAACAAGAATAAGGAACAATAAGGATACATATTGCTGTTCATGGTTCCAAGTTGTTATTGAGATTATTGAGGTACCTGCTAATACATGTTGGAAAACCTTGGGGTGCTGGATTGAAAACATTGTTGAATATTCAGTTCCATTGGGAAAAAGTTTGAGTACAACCACCTCACAGCGACTCACAGCGACATACAGTTCCAAAATCATCCACAAAATATCACACGACACAAAACATCTTCGTCATCAGCATCCCAAACTCTCATCACAAAAAATATCTTCATCCGAAAAACTCTTCAATTCATCCCTTCCCCCAACCATATTCAATACCCCCAGAAACCATGGTATCCACTAGGAGATTTACAGGTATTTTGGGATCAGGGAAACCTTCCCAAGCTTCCCAACAAAGCGAACCGGTCACGGTTCACATGCTTCGCTAAGCAACGGGTCACGCGGTTGCGCCAGCGCCACTTGGAGTAAAGCATGTAGTCGTAGATCCTCACGTTGTTCTGAAGCTCTGTGGCCTGGTCGGCTGGTTGGAGAAGACAAACTAGCGAAGCCGCATCTATAGATCTTTTAGCTAAGAAAAAGCCAGCAAGTTATAGCCACAACGTTAACAAATCTTACCAAAAAAAACTTTATAGCATGTTATAGCAACAAGAGAATTATATCTCAATATCTCTCAATATCTCAACGTAAACACGTGGCTTTGAGATATTGAAGAGACACTTTTGTCGGATGCTAATCTTGGACATGAAACCAAGGTTTCCGCAGATCTTTTGCGTGAGCGCTAAATCAGAAAATTGACCTAGCCCCTAATTGATCCTAATTGCCTAATGAAAATTCCTGGGTGACAACCAGCAGCACAAAACATAATCCAAGTCCCCTCTGCTCCGCCAAGTCGCATGGTTCATGAGGATATCCATCATCACCTGCCGGTTTTGAACAGCTATGAGGTTCAAGAACTGTGGCTTACGAAACTACATAAACATCAGGTGTTTTTCACCATCCATTTCTGGTGAATTTTCGTTGATTTTGGGGATGGTTTAATTTATGACATTGGCTTTACCACACAAGACACAAACCTGACATATGGCACTTTTGAAAGGTGGATCTTCTGGCGGATGATCCCATGAACCAGTCATCCAAGGTTTACAGTACTCAACGGTCAACGGTCGAACAAAAGCATGGTGGTTGAACTCACCATGAACGCCACGTACCATTCACCAAGGTGAGGGTATGTGTAGTTTAGTATACGATGGCTTTCGCCTTTTACTGAAGAATTCCTCAGCCCCAAAGCTATGGCAGTTCTGCTGCAGCCGGCCTGGAAAGGTGCGATGATGATACCGAAGAGAAGGTAACAGATCAAATCCCGGCTGCGAATATCATATGATCTCAGGGCAGTTTTTCTCCGATCGGACAAGGCCGTCACGGTCCAACGCGTACCAACACGGCCGAGTTTCGCCATGGGAAAATCATGGAGATTTGGAGACAAAACGAGATGAGTTTAGCATTCCGGTTGGTGGTGCAATGTGCCCATCTTGAAAAATGATAGAGTTCGTCAATGGGAAGGATGACATCCCATATGAAATGGAATATAAAAAATGTTTGAAACCACCAACCAGTATTTTGTCAAAATCATGTGGATCTATACAGAACTTGACTTTACCCAACACTTACATTCAGAGTTCAACATGAACATTAGAAAGAAATAACATCTGCGCCGCGGGTTGAGTTTTTCGTGTATCTTCAAGTGCTTTGGAACCGGTAGCCATACTTATGGCTAAGCGTATCAGAAGATTGGACTGGACAAGTTGTTCTAGTCACTTCCTAGCCGTTGATGACCCTCACATTGGGAATCTAACTTCAGCTGGTTGGTGGCTGACCTACTCCTCTGAAAAATGCTGGAGTTCGTCAGTTGGGGTTACTATTCCCAATATATGGAAAAATAAAGCCATGTTCCAAACCAGCAACCAGTCAGCTACTGAAGTCAGTGAATTTCTCCTACTGGAAAGCCATGGCTCCCATGGCCATGTACGGTTCGCCATGCTGAATGCCACCAAGATGCACAGGAATTTCGGTTTCAGGCGCGAAGACGTAGATGGCGCCAATAATGAAAGGCGTCATGATCGTACCTGACAGACTCAAGCTGATGCTCAGAGTGTCTCCCAAACATGGCTGAGAAACCATGGCCATGGCTTAAGGATGATGGTCCAATTTACTGGCTCAACTGAAATGCTTGGAACGCAACTATGACTGGCGGACTCTGACCTCCCAATTTATTGAGTTTGTTGTTGAGAAGCCTCTTAGTTGTCCCAAAAACAGTTGCCTCTTGCCAGTTAAACAAGCTATTACTTAAATGCTGAACGAAATGCTGTTTCTCAGAACCAGGTGAAACCGACTCTCTTGGTTTCTGAAAGGTCGCCACTAGCTGTGCATACACCTAGACATGATTTTCATGCTTCCATCTCACACTTTTTTGTTTGGCTAAATAAAACTCCCATCTGGGTGTGTCCAAAGCCCCACGTTCAATTTACCCTCCAAACTTCCCTCATTTTGCATGAGGAAAATGATGAAATTCCAGTACCTAATTGCAGGTAAAAACTTTACCCTTTTACCCATGCCCACCTCAAACACGCGAAACAGATGTAATTCTTAGAATATAAATAATTCTTAGAATTAAACATCCATTTTCAAAGATATTATAAATACATATAACACACCAAAAAGAGTTAATATAATATAACAAAATCATATTAATATGTATGTATATATATATATATACAGTTTTGGTCTTGGTCCATCCCCCTACAAACTTCACAAGATTTCACAAGATGTCCAAGCCTTCCTTCACAACACCGAGCTGCTCATGCAGGTAGTGCCGCAGCCAATGACTTCCTCCATGGCCTCTTCGATGGGCGTTCCTTCTTGTACCATCTGCGGCAGGGCAGGGCAGCTCAACAGCTGTACCGATGGGATTCAACTTTGATTACGGGAAAAAACAGGAGAACCCCTGGTTGGTGGTGCAATAACCATTTTGATCTCACCAAGGGAATGGGAACGCACTGCAAATGGAGGTTGGAATGGCTTGATCTATCAATACTGGTTGGTGGTGCAATGTGCCCATCTTGAAAAATGATGGAGTTCGTCAATGGGAAGGATGACATCCCTTTTCTATGAAATGGACAATAAAAGACATGTTTGAAACCACCAACCGGTAATTTGGTTTCCTGTAGATGTTCCCTTAAACCAATGCAATTGGCAATGATAATGGATTATGGGATTCGACTTTAGTGATGAGGATTGGTTATGATTGGTGCATGGCAAGCTTCAAAGAATAGACTTTGTTTGCCACTGGTTGTATCCTTTTTGGGGTTAACCAAAGGACAAAGTAATTGCGTTCTGATTAGCCAAAACACTTGAGATTCAACAGCTGGAACCTGGTGAAACCTGTCTGCTTCCCCACTTCCCAAGTGTTCTCGTTTGTTCATGCAATGTGAACCACTGCTGGATCTCTTTCTCTGCTTCACCTTCTGTCTTTTCGTTTCAGGGTCTTCATCTCACTTCCTTGAAGTTCCTTTTTGATATTGGATGTCCTCGTTTCAGGGTCAATCTTTGGTAGTCCACAAAAACTGGATCGTTTGCTGGTTATGGTTACCCTCTGATAAACATACAACAAACTATGGAAAATCACCATGTTTAATGGGAAAAGTCACTATAAATGGCCATTTTCAATAGCTATTTTGACATAACCAGAGGGTATGTTCCATTCACAGTCAATAATCTAAAGGATTAAACGACCTATCCAGTTGGAACCGGGGATGTTTTGAGTCAGACTCGGCCAGCGGCCATTCCTTCATGCTGCCAATGTGCCTTATATATATATATATATGTAGATCTACATATAAATTACAGATATAGATATATATATATATATATATGATATTGATTGTTGGCCATAGATGGCCTCTTTCTGCATCATAACTAGTTCCTCATCAAACCGTTTAGGCGTTCCTTTTGCCAGTGATACCATGTGATACCTACATATTCTGTCATGTTCTATCCTCAGTTGTCATTGCTGCTGCTTTGGTCTGACTATACAGCCCTCAGCTGGTCAGCTTTGAAATTTGCTCCGCTTGGTCCCAACGGGCCTCTTCTGGGGAAATCTCCTTGGCGACGCTTCAGCACTGATCTCACCAAGGGATTTTCGAACGAACTGCAAATGGAGGTTGGAATGGCTTGATCTATACTGGTTCGTGGTGCAATGTGCCCATCTTGAAAAATGATGGAGTGAAAGTCAATGGGAAGGATGACATCCCTTTTCTATGAAATGGAAAATAAACAATGTTCCAAACCACCAACCAGAATATATTATATATACTTGGGAAACTCGATTCGTAGCTCCAACTGGCTCCTCATTTCATAGGGAATATCAATGCTTATAGCCTAACTATAGCTCTGAACCACAACCTAACACCGGATAATTGGAGGTTTCCTAAACTATGGATATTCCAAACATATTGGGGTACCCCCATGACTTAGGAAACCCCTTTTGCAACCGTTGTTGTGCAGTCTGAAGTGGCAACCAAATCCAGGTATCCCATCCCATCCCCGTGGTTTCTGGGGATGTGTTTAATGGGTACGGGATTTTCCAGTCGATTCTCCAAGGGTTGGCACTTACCCTCTGGTAATTTCTTACAGTTTGCGAACTGGAAAATGGCCCAGTCGAAATAGTATGAAATAGTGGATTTACCGAAAATGGTGGATCTTTCCATAGTTATGTGGCTGTTTACCAGAGGGTATACCAGCCAAGCTGCTTCTTCATCTTTACCTTCGTTCATCAGCAAGGCTCGTGTTGAACGGCCTGGAAGGTGAGGCTAGGACACAAAAGTGTCTCTTCGTGGACAATGGCTGTGAGATTTCTTGGAGAGGATTGATGAAAGAAAGAAAACACTACCCTCTGGTTATTTAACATAGCCATGGTATAGATGGCCCATAGAAATAGATGGTTTATCGAACTTAAAAAATGGTGGATCTTTCCATGGCTAACTGTTAGTCACAACCAGAGGCTACATCCAGCAATCCATACCTAGCCTCGGTAGTATCAAGCAGTGATGTGGGTCTCTTGGGACGTGATGGTTATTTTCGCAGAACAATTGAGGTATTCCAAACATATCCAGACCATCAAGATGGCAAAGCAATGCGTTAAACCTGCTGCAAAATCCACTTGTGGATTAATAATGATTAATACCCCTATAGTTACTATTAAATAGTTATATGGGATATCCCCTATTCTATATGGGATGAACTATGAGTTATATATGGATTCTAAAGCACAGATATCCAGCCAACCCATCTCAGCAACCCGACCTGCCGTCAGGATGAGGGTAAATCGCCAGAACCAGGAACGGGTCCTGATCAGCTACGAGTTGCCACCAGATTTACGTGGAACATAGCGGAAAAGACCCATTTGCGAGGCCCCGATTTATGATTTTGGGGTCTGGTATTCCTTGCTACCATGTATAGTTGATTTACCTATCTAAAGATGCTGATTTTCCATAATTGTTGTATATCTCTATATATATATATTATGTATTTATTTATTTACCGGAGGGCCGGATTGGGTAACTCTTTCTGCAGCTGAGATGCTTGGCCCAGTGGGCTGCATACGCCGTGCCCTTATCGATTGCCTGAGGCACAGGCCAAAATTGCTGGAAGGAGTGGGCCAAAAGGATATCTACCCTCTGGTAAACAGCTACATACCTATGGAAAATCACCATTTTCAATGGGTAAATCCACTATTAAATGATCATGTTCAATAGCTATGTAACAAATACCAGAGCGTAAACTCTGAGTTCAGCATATTCTTCACATTCTTGTTTCATAAAATTGCATATGCAACAAGTGCCCCAACACAAATTGAGTATGTGAAAAATAAAAGCGTACTTTTATATGAAGTACGACTCTAAATGTCACCCAAACCCATCGTTGCCTCGAAGAGGGTCCCCAAAATCAAGCGCTCGGCGATGCCGTACAGAAGCTCCAGGAAGAAACCTTCGACGGGATGGCAAGCAACTGGAACTGAACACATATATCCCCTGAGAGCAATTGATAGCAACCCCCCCAGCAATAGAAAGGTAAAATCCTACGAAGAATCAAAGTGGGAAGTTACTGTTCTACCTTTTTGGGGGATCCTCTGGGTCAAAAATTCAGCCCAAACATTATCAACTATGTACCAGGGGATCATGAACCCGATATAAGAATAGTTTTAACACTAGTTTTTATAGTTGATAATTATCTGTTAACCTAACAAATATTAACATTTATAGAATTATCGACTATAAAAGGGGATCATGTTACACCATCCCAGAGGTATGCATGAGGGGTTTGGACCTAGCTTCGAGCGTGATAACGTGAGGCAAAATGGAGACTTACTGCACAATGTGAGGCCCCCAAGATAGCTAAGTTGGTGAACATAACTCCAATAACTATATGGTTTATAGGTGATATATCTATAGTTTTCATGGGATTATAAACCAACAAACATCACTGGGGGGGCCACCTTTGTGTAAGCTTAAGACGATTCACCAATTACGATGATCCTGCCGAGCCAACCACGAAAAAAGGCCGAGTTTATCGGGTCACCTTTGCGAAGTTCATTGATGTGAATCGGCATGAACCCAATCATCAACAAGGGAAACTTTAAACACTTCATCAATAGATAGATGTTCCAACATGTTTCAACATGTTGAAATTGATTTTCTTTGATTAAAAAACGTTTCAACATGTTTCAACATGTTTCCATCTCTACGGTGGAAAACATGTGGATGAAATCCTGCACCAAACCGTTTGGTCCCTGCCTTCGCAGAAGTCCACAAAGTCATCAGCCCCCAGGGTACCTAGAAATTCCACGGCCAGTGTTCAAAACCCACATCATTCCAGGAAATACTGGCTGGTTTATAGGTTTTTCATGGTTTGTCCATATTGGAGGATGATAACATGTCAGCAATTATATTGGATAGCTTGCCATACCTACATATTCCATGAAATAGTTCATAGGTTTTTCCATAGATAATGATCCTTCCCAATTATATTGGATAGCTTGCCATATAGATCATGTAATGTCAACCTCGGATTAATAAACCCTGGTTTATTAATTAGGGGGGCACCCTTTTAATAGTCATTTCATATGATACTTTTTTATGGTACCCTCCCAATTCAACAATCGTTTGGGGTTTATGAATCCAGGGTTCACATTACATTCATATGCATCATACCCTCTGGTAATTTAAGTTACATAGCTATTGAAAGATCCACCATGTTATAGCTGGGAAAATCCACGAAATGAATGGTCATTTTCAATAGCAAACTTTTGACATAACCAGAGGGTACATATCATGCCATCTGCCAATCAAACACGCTCCGATTCAACCTTCGAATCTCGGAAGAAAAAAGTGCAGCCACGCATGATGGACCGAAGGGATCAATGTGTGTAAAAATCCCCATGGGTGATTCTCAAATCCCACGAAAATCCCACTCGATCCCATTAAATCCAATGAAATGTCATTATATAAATCCCAATAAATTTCATTGAATCACACTTGAATAACAAAAACAAATCCCATGAAAAATCCATGAAGTCCAACATATCCACGAAAAAAAACCACGCCTTTTCCACCGAAAAAATCACCCGGGGCACCCACAAAGAGCACCACGCTGCAGGCCGTGGACAAGGGCACCTGGATCAGCTCCTCTCGCACCGCCCTGCGCAGGCAGAAAACCCAATAGGGCTTGGCTTAGGGACTTGGAACAAACATAGGAAAACCATAGGAAAACATAGGAAAACCCTGGGAAAACCATAGGAAATGGAGGTTTACCCTCTGGTAAACTGTCACATAACTATGGAAAATCACCATGTTTAATGGGTAAATCCACTATAAATCACCATTTTCAATAGCTATGTATGGGAAAAAAACCGTGGAAAACCATCCCCAAGGGAACTGAGCATGTGCTCCACACTTCCACACTTCTCATGTCGAGCCAGATTCATAGTTTTCTGGCTTGTGCGGATTGCCTCGCACGACCATTGGAAAAACCATTCATTGGATTGGTTGAAGGGAAAAATCACAGGAACCCCCCATATTTAATGGTAAAAACCATGGTTTCCTGTATAAAATGAATCCTTAAACCAATCCAATGAACCATGGAAACATATGGAAAACATAGGAAAACAAAGGGAAAACCCAGCTGGGATGTTTATATATAAAATATATATATATATATATTACATGCGGATGGTCGTTTGATGAAACAACATATTCCAGCTGGCTCATCAACCGTTCAGAAATTGAAAAACCGACTACTAAACGAAAAAAACATGCTTTAGCATGGTTCAGTGGGGAATGAAACCACATCAATGGTTCACCATCAATTGGGGTATTTTTTTTGTGAACGGGTGATGGGACTCAAAACAAAACACGTACAGTTACACCTCGCCAAAGAAACTATGTTCAATCTTTGGTAGTCCACAAAGAATATATGCTTTTGCTGCTTATAATTATTTGCCATAGCAACAAAAATGCAAATGAGTTTTTACCCAGTCCACGGCGTTACCCAAGGTCGGGGATGAAAGAAACCAAATCTGTAACCAGGCCGAAGCCTTGGATGATCGTTACACATGATCACCGTCATTGGATAAGCTTGCATCACTTGCATAACTTGCGCAGACTTTCTCAGATTCCTAGCAGAAAGAAACGGATTGGCATATAGCTGGGTACAAAAATACTCGGACATTTGTAGCAGAAAAGTAGAACATTCCCCCTCCCAGCTGTCACCAGCTCATCAAAAACCTCGACGTGCCTGGACAAGGCGTTGTCCACGAAATTCATGGCGAAACTGAAGCCGATGATGAAGTACCTGACTTTCATTGGATTGGTTTAATCAGTGGGAATTTCAGGATCCTAAAATGGAGGTACTGTACCATATAAGGCCATATTTTCTGGGGATATTCCCTTTAAGGGAAAAATCTACATCAAATTGATTGGAGTCTTTCTTTTTTTCCCCTTACAATTCACTGAGACAAAAAGCTGAGCCAGGTTCCAAAAAGTCTAGATGTGAGGGGACATAAGCTAAAATTATGTGCCAATTTGATGAGAAAAATAGGATCAACCAGTTTTGGGATAACATCTCATTCTTCGTTGATTTAGAGTTTTGTCACGCAACGTGAGTAAGTTTGTGGATGCTCATCCATTTTCGGGGCTGGTCACTTACTATATATAGTATAAACCCTGGAGGCACCTGTTCGCAAGGACTTGCAGCCAGTTTCAATCTGTTTCACATCGTCCTTGAGCGCAGTTTTCCATGGTTTTCCCACACTGTCACGGATTCTCAAGGCCTCCACAGCATGGTTTCGCACATTTCCGGGGCACAAGGCGTTCTCGCCAAAGAAGTCGCAGTAGGTGAACTCCCAGAGCAAGGTCAAGGGAAAGATCAGAAACACACCTCAGCTGTGTTTCAGCCAGGATTTCAAGGCTGCCCAAACCTACAAAAATGAGACGAAAACAACAAACAATAATGGGCACGGACTTGTGCCCAGGTCACACATCCACTGTTTTTCTTCTTAATATCATTCTTACTGTTGCTATCACTCTTGTGTTGTTAAATCACTGTGATTCAACTTAATCATTGTTATCATTACCATCATTTTGATCAAGTGATGAACACATTTAATTGGTGTTTTGACCATCTAGGTATTTAATGTAATGATTAGCAGGTTTATTCGATTATCATTACCTATGTTGGAAACAACTCCAACTCCGTTGCGGTGGGGTGCTGCCGCCAAAAAAAAAACTGCCAAAGGACTCACGAAGATCAAGTGCGCTCGCTTCCAGCGAATGGGCACCGTCCTGCTTTAAAAGAACGAGGGAATGGGAAAGTGATTGGCCAAAACTGCTGTGGAAAACTGGAGATTTTCAAAGTAGAGCTTCCTGGATCCTGCAAGTACCCGGAAAAATGCGGCAATATACCGGTGATACCCGGTGATTCTTGGACTTGTACTACCATCTGGTTATTTGTTACAGTTCGCCATGGAAAGATCCACCATTTTTAAGTTCGGTAAACCGTCTATTTCTATGAGCCATCTATACCATGGCTATGTTAGTCATAATTAACAAAATAGATCCAAATAGTAAACATACAAAAAACTCTGGAAAATCAATGAAAATCACTCTCTTTAATAGGTAAACCATCTATAAATGGGCCATTTTCCATGATGGCCATGGCTATGTTAGTCATAATTAACCACATAGTAAAATACTTGGAGAGTTTAAGCTGAACATTGGGCTGAATGAAGCTTCACCTGGTCCAGAAACTCCAAACTCCTGCAGCAAATTGGTGCCCCCCCAGGGATGTTTGTTTGTTTCTATCTCTATATGTTGTAAACATATCTAAAAACACATGTAATTATAGGTATACACACACACACCTCTATATATATATATATTGTATGTGTATGTATATATATATATATATACTGGTTGGTGGTTTCAACCCCTCTGAAACATATGAAAGTCGAATGGGCTGATTATTCCCAATATATGTAAAATCATAAAATTCATGTTCCAAACCACCAACCAGTATATATAAATATATTGTATGTATATTGTGTATATAAAGAGGATATGCAATGAATATCTACATCCATCCCCACCTGATCTGCTGCCGTTGCTCTGCTCGCAGGGTCAAGCCTTCTCGACCTGGGTTGCTCAGACCCAACTCACGGACCACGGGAGGTCTATACGGGGATCATTTAGATCCATGGTTACCCTCTGGTAAACAGCCACATAACTATGGAAAATCACCATTTTTCATGGGAAAACTCACGAACTAAATGGCCATGTTCAATAGCTTTTTGTATGTTTACCAGAGGGTAACCAACCAAAATAGTGATTTCATGGATTTGTTCTCATGGGATCTAACCAACCAAAATGGTGATTTAAAGTGAGTTTCAGGGGATTCATTCAACCTATACAAGAATTGTGATTTAGTGGGATTTTGAGTGGTTTATTCAACAAACATATGGGATTCGACATGATCTACGCAGCAAAAA